TATATATATATATAAAATACTAGTAATTGGTTACACTATTATGATTGATTAAACTAACCTACTACGATTGATTACCTAATTAAACTACATTACAACAACAATAATAATAACATAGCCAGTAATATCTCACACTGTGGGATCTGGGGAGGGTAGTGTGTACGCAGACCTTACTCCTATCTTGTGAGGATAAAGAGGTTGTTTCCAATAGACCCTCAACTCAGGAAATTAAACGACATTAATGGTGGAAAATGTCTTTACACTCATGATAAAAACTTATTTAAATTCAAATAGAAAATTAGTGTAACTGTTTTAGAAGTGTTCTGTTTTGTTGGCATTCAACACGTGTCAACTTCCTTCAAGTGTTGCCACTGGAATTTACATACATGGGTCAACCTTGTCCGTGTTCGTAGCATTCGTTCCTAGACTCAGTTGCTGATCTATTCCCTCATTACCATCTTCAGCCATGTCATCCTCTTCACTACTTGAGGCTTCAGCCACAATATTGCAAAGACATTTGCAAAATGAGTTTTCGAGAAGATTCCATAAGCTCTGAGGAGGGGTTGCTTCGAAAGCCATTACTGCCACCAAAAGGGAAAGAGATTAATCCTAAAATGAGCTTTAGAGATGATTCAGCTAGCTCTGACGAAGGGCTTATTAGGAAGCCACTGTTGCATACTGGGAGTTGGTATCGAATGGGGTCAAGACAATCCAGCATGATGGAATCATCGGCCCAAATACTTCGTGAATCAATCTCCATTTATCTCTGTGTCCTCATTGTTGCCTTAGGCTCCATCCAATTTGGCTTCACCGTAGGGCTAACTTTTTTGTTTTTTTTCCTTTCTTTCTTTCTTCTGTTTGACTGGATACATATTTTAAGATATAAAAACATCTGACCCATGCATATGACATCGGATTTAATCTATTTACACGAATTAAGAGTGTACAGAAGTTAAATCTGTAGCATTCTCAAAGTTAATTCCTTTTTAGTACTTGTGGTTTGCAGAATATCATGTCATTCTAGTAAGAGTAAGATCTTTATGTACAAACTGAAATAGGTAAGATTAAAGAGTTGTTTAATGCAAAGGTGTTAACCTTTCTCAAAAGAATCATAGAAGAGTAGTAATGGTTAACAATCAAACATTGTTTTCTTTAAACACACCAGCTTCGAAACCACTAAAATTCGTTCTGGTCTACTTTATCTTTGTATTGATTACTTATGGTTGGCTGACTATTTATGCAGTTGGGGTACACTAATCCTACGCAGTCTGACATCATGGACGACCTCTTACTTTCAATTTCAGAGGTTATTATTCTCTTTCCAATAGTACATTATTGTTATAGTCATCAATTTAACTGTTTCTTTTAGAGGAAATGTGCTTAGTATCTAGAGAACACAGTGTTAAATCAAGCCTGGTATTTTGATAATGGTTAAAGTGTTACAAGGTTTCAGAGACTTTGAATATACCGGTTTTGATGTTATGTTACAATAACTTCTGTTATTCTCATGAACAGTTTTCAATCTTTGGATCTTTAGCGAATGTGGGTGCAATGGTTGGTGCAATTGCAAGTGGTCAGATATCTGAATACATTGGCCGAAAAGGGGTATAACACTAAGCATATTCAATTGTACATTCTCAAATTCTTACTACCGACCAAGAAAGTTTACTGTTTTTTTTTATATGAAATTTAAGTTATGTACACTAACTGTAAAGGAGCCTCGGAGCAATAGTAAAGTTGTCTCCGTGTACCTATAGGTCACAAGTTCGGTTATCTACATCATACCCCTTAGGGTGCGGCTCTTTCCAGGACCCTGTGTGAACACGGGATGCCTTATGCACCGGAGTGCCTTTTTTTTAACACTAACGGGTGCAAAAACGTTTTACACCATCAATGTATTTAACCTATCTTAGCAGTTACTTGCATAATATTCTAGGTTACTAATCCACTTATTACGGACAGTAACCTATAGTTATCGTTTAGGTGACTTGCCAGTATATATAGAAGTTAAATTCTTTATATTAGATATTTTTGCTTTTGTTCCTTTATTTTACGATTTACGCCCTCTTTTTATATTGCAATACAGACACTAATGATTGCATCAATTCCTAATATTAGCGGATGGCTTGCCATTTCATTTGCCAGAGTGAGTGGTTAGTTGTAACATGCTGCACATTTCAGTTGCATCTTATTATAGGAAGTTTACTTCAATCAATGCATTTTCTACTATTAACAGGACACGTCATTTTTATACATGGGAAGATTGATGGAAGGATTTGGTGTGGGCATTATTTCCTATGTGGTAAATTTTGCTTGTTTTACTTTTCTGGTAGCTCTAGTTGGAGTTATAATGGAAAACTCCTGCTTAGCCAAATTCTTCCTGTTTGTCATGTATAGGTACCTGTCTATATAGCGGAGATTTCACCACAAAACATGAGAGGAGTCCTTGGATCCATTAATAATGTTGGTTTTATTTCACTTATGACGCTAATCCATGCTCTTTCATCTATATCTTGATAAATTAATGTTTAACGGTTCGTTCTTTAATGTTTCTTTCTTGGTGTATAGCTTTGTTTAACAGTTGGGACAATGTTGGCATATCTATTGGGTCTGTTTACACCTTGGAGAGTGCTTGCAATTTTAGGTGAGCAACGAGTTCTTGTTAAAATTCTGTCAATTCCAAAAGAAAAGACTCTCAAGCTATCTGGTGTTTAGTTATTGACAGATAGATCGTTCTTCCCCTGGTTTGGTAGTAGAACTCACTGGAGGTTTTTGTGACATTCATCAAGTTTATGCCGTACCATTAACAGAAATAGTACCTTATCTGATACACGGATCTTCCTTAAAAACACATTTATCATCATATACATTATTGAAAGTTCATTAGGATACATATTGATGTGATGTCATATATTCTCAAGTTAATTGATACAGCATGTTTGAATGACATTATGATGCAATGCTTCTATGTTTATCAAACAGAATTTGTGTTTTTTTTTTTCCTCTCATTTTTGAGCAATTGAACTGTGACACTGCGTCACTCGTTTTCTTGAATAACATGTTGGTTTCAGTTTTTCTAGTAGTGATTTTTTCAACTTACAATTCCACTTTGCAGGAATGTTACCATGCACAATATTGATACCTGGTCTATTTTTTATACCGGAATCTCCTCGTTGGTTGGTACGAGTAACAAACTTGGGTTTTGTTGCTACTTGGTCTTTGGTTTTTTGTTATGCTGATATTCCCTAGTGCTATGCATAGGCTAAAATGGGAAATTTTGAGGATTTTGAAACTTCTTTGCAAGTTCTAAGGGGATTTGACACTGACATATCCTTAGAAGTGAATGAGATCAAGGTAATTAATTGAACTGGTAAACTGTTTGATGCTCAACTATTTTGAACCCTCAATTTGCATTCCCTAAGCTTCTTTGCTCCTCAAACTTATTAATTTTTTCGTACTTATTTGTTGTTTATATCTTTTGTCCAGAGATCTGTGGGATCATCAAGTAAAAAAGCTACAATTAGGTTCTCCGAGCTTAAGAGAAAGCGATATTACTATCCTTTGCTGGTATACTTGCGTATTGTAATTTTAAGTTTCAAGAGATGCTGATCTATGTAAACATACGCAACTTCAATACCCCTTACTCATCTTAAGGATCACTTCCGAGAGTTGGTTCTAATATGCAGATAGGTATTGGATTACTCACTCTCCAGCAACTCAGCGGAATAAATGGTGTCTTATTCTATTCCAGTAACATCTTCAAATCTGCTGGTCAGTTAATTCCTTGATTAGATAAATGTGCTTAGGAACTTTAAGCTGCATTTTCTTTCTCTTTATTCTATTGCTAGAAGCAGAAAAAGAGGACAATATAGGATAAATGTGCAGATTGCTCTAAGAAAATACCATGCTAACTTCTCTTTTATTTGCCAAATTATCTCGAGATGTTCTGTCATTATATTGTACTCGTAGCTCTTAGTCATAGAGAAGCTATGTAATGAGCAATTGGTTCAACACATGGGTTTTAATTTCAATGCTCTTAAACTAATAGGAGTTTCATCGAGTAAAGCTGCAACATTTGGACTCGGGGCTATTCAGGTAAGTGTAAGTCCACTATGGGATATAGTGTTCATTTTTGTGAAGATGTTGTTCTGAGTACTGATGGAAGAAGTACTTTTATAGGTCATTGTTACTGCTATAGCTGCATCACTTGTGGACAGGGCGGGTCGCAGAGTACTTCTTATTGTATGTCTTTCCACATTGCTATTAGCTACATATTAAAGGAAAAAAGAGCAAGCGAAAGATAACTTTTATATTGTCACAATTTTTTTCAGATGTCCTCGTCGTTAATGACAATTAGTAGCTTCCTTGTTGCAATAGCATTCTACCTGAAGGTAATGTGATCTCTTAAATTTTACATGCATGAAAAGTCATCAAGCAATTATTGGAGCTAAGGTTCTTGCTTAATATTGGGTTTGACCTTCCTTTATTTTCATTGAACAGGATCTTACGCCCGAATATTGGCATCCTGCCTTGGGAATATTATCTCTGGTTGGACTTGTGGTATATTCACACATCAACTTCCACTTGTCTCCCTTCTCTGGCATTATACGTTTTGTTAGAACCTTAACTAATGAAAATTCCAGGTTTTGGTGATGGCATTTGGTCTGGGATTAGGGTCCATTCCATGGATCATAATGTCTGAGGTATGTGAAGCTAACTCATAGTTCATGTGATGAGAAGAAAATATGTTTATGTTAATGTAACAAAAGATCCAACCAATAGAAGAACATTTTAAGAAGAACAATCAGGATTCGAGCATGATTCAAGTCTTGATGTTTATATCATATATGCAGATATTATAGTTTGTAAAACCATTTATGCAGATACTACCAGTGAACATTAAAAGTCTTGGAGGCAGTGTTGCTACACTGGCCAATTGGCTAACATCATGGGTTGTTACAATGACAGCAAACTTGCTTTTGACTTGGAGCGAAGGAGGTTTCACTTCTCTCCTATTTCTATGCTGTTGTAAGACTGCTTTGAAACACTCTAAAAGTTATATTTTTCGCAGGAACATTCATTATTTATGCAGTGATGTCGGCTTCTACAGTTGTTTTTGTTAGACTTTGGGTTCCTGAAACCAAAGGAAGAACACTTGAAGAGATTCAGCGTTCCTTCAGATGATCATGAAACCAACTATGCAATTAAAGAGTATCAAATAGAACGAGTTCTCCAAATAGGTTCGATTTCATGTATGATTACTGAATTTTACCTACTATAACACGAAGCTATTTTTTGCCACATTAAAGCAAGTGAACTTTATCCCTATATATAATGTGATTCTACTGTTATATATAGTGGAGTGACAATAAAATAGTTTTGTGACGTTACTGCTGCAGCGCGCTCACTAAAAAGTTATTGATTCTACTTCAAATATTGTTACCCTTTACACTATCATCTTGTTCAAAGTATCTCTCTTGTCAAAAGATCATTAATAAGCTGCAACGAATGCAGTTCGCTACATACTCTATTATCCTTCACTAACACATAAAATTTGACCTTTGAACCTCAAATAATATGACTAATATATTATGGACAGGAAGATTAAGTTTTTTGTTATAAATAGAATTCTATTTATGGTGAATGTCCATATTTAGAGAGATTCTAGGGTTTATTACTTGGTGGCTAAGTCAACCTCTCCCTATAAATAGAGGGTTCTATTCCATTGTAATTCATCCCAAAATCAATAAGAATTCTCTCTCTCTACTTTTCTCTGCAATATTGTTCTTATTCTTTTATTATTTTATAACACGTTATCAGCACGAGACTCTACCGTCTCAAGAAGCTCCTTGAGAAGATTAAGGTAATTTTTCTCCTCTTTTTAATTATGACTGACATTATGAAAAGAAAGTTCGTTGCCCTTGAAATTTCGGGCAAGAACTATATGACATGGGTGTTGGATGCTGAAATCCACTTAGATGCAATGGGTCTTGGAGACGCCATTAAAGACAGAAATAAAGCATCCGCCCAAGACTGTGCTAAGGCCTTGATTTTCTTGCGCCATCACCTTGATGAAGGGTTGAAAATTGAATATCTCACAATCAAAGATCCACTTATTTTGTGGAATGGCTTAAAAGAAAGATACGACAACTTAAAGTTGGTCACTCTTCCACAAGCACGATATGATTGGGCTCATCTGAGGCTCCAAGACTTTAAGTCTGTTTCTGAATATAATTCTGCGATGTTCAGAATTACTTCTAAATTGAAACTCTGTGGAGATACTATCAGTGATTATGATATGCTTGAAAAAACGTTTACAACACTTCATGTCTCCAATATGGTTCTGCAACAGCAGTACAGAGAGAAAGGTTTTAAGAAGTACTCTGAGCTGATTTCTCTTCTCCTTGTGGCTGAGCGAAACAATGACTTGCTCATGAGAAATCACGAAAATCGACCCACTAGGTCTACACCATTGCCTGAAGTGGATGAGGTGTATTCCCATTATGCTAAGCGTGGAAAAGGCCGTGACTCTATTCGTAGTCATGATCGTGATCATGGTCGTAGCCGTGGTCGTGGCCGTAGACAAGGAAGAAATTTTTCCTGGTGTTAATCATCCCCCAAAGAAGAAATAACCACCAAAAGTGGAAAGGGAAAGATGAGAAGCCAAAAGCAAATGGTTCAGAAACTGAATGCTATCGTTGCGGTGGAAAAGGGCATTGGGCAAATATTTGTCGTGTACCAAGACATTTGGTTGAGCTTTATCAAGCATCTCTAAAGAATAAAGGCCCTGAAGCCAATTTTGTCTCTGATAATGATTTTGACATCACCCACTTGGATGTGGCAGACTTGTTTGAGCGCCCTGATGGAAAAATAGACCACTTGATTGGTGATGGATCCGTGGTTAAAGATGATTGAGTAGTTTAATTTTTATTTTTGCCTATTCATAATAGTTAGTGAATAAATTTCATGTAATTATCGTAGTTTACATGAGTAGTAGTCATTAGTACCAATAAGTACTATTTATTTTATGAATAGTATTAGTTCGTTTTAATTAAATATGGTAATATTATTTCCAGTACATGGTTCAAAGTAAAATATTACCGTTTCCGCTGATGAGTATCGTCTTCCTTTGTGAATATTACCGGTCAAAAATTTGCAAAGTTAATTATTTGTCCAGTAGTGTCAAATCCTGTTAACTTCTCATTTTTTCAGAATCATGTTACTTTTATGAAAAACTAAAGAATGAGAACAATTATCACGTTATAGGACAAAGTTCAAATTGAATTGGTTCAAAAGACGCAATATTACGGCATGAGCAAGACTACAACAAGTGCTCGTTCAATTATATATCCGTTCTATTTCATTTGGTTGGATTCTCTAATCAATTGATTAACTTCGTTTCTTTTCCTTTTCTGTAAAAATACTAATGTTTATTCACATATTTCTTTTGTATGTCAAACCATGGGAAGCAAATATGGATATCCCACAAAGCAAACTTGGTTCAAAAGTTCAATTGTAAAAATATTTTGTTTAATTGATTCATGTACGACACATACATTATTTCAAAGAGAAGAAATATTTCTCTCATTTAAGTATGTGTAAGGCAGATGTTCTACAATTTCTGGTAGTAGTAATTTAATTGAAGGCTCTGGAAGAGCTACTATAACTCTGCCCAATGGAGCAATACTTATTATAGAGAATGCAATGTTCTCCTCCAAGTCGAAGAGGAACTTGTTGAGTTTTAAAGATATCCGCCGAAATGGATATCATATCGAGACAATAGATGAGAATAATCTTGAATATCTCATTATTACCAAATATGTCTCTGTCCAGAAAAGAGCTATTGAGAAGTTCCCATCTTTATCTTGTGGCCTGTATTGGACAAGAATTAGTGCAATTGAGGCACATTCTATTGTAAACAAAAGGTTATTGATTCCAATACTTTTGTACTTTGGCATGATCGATTGGGACACCCTGGATCAATTATGATGAGACGAATTATAGAAAAACTCAAATGGGCATCCATTAAAGAATTTAAAGATCTCTTTTAAATGATGAATTTTCTTGCACTTCTGTTATCAAGGCAAGTTAATTATTAGACCATCACCACAAAGGTTGGAATTGAGTCCCCTGCGTTTTTGGAACGTATACAAGGGGACATTTGTGGACCTATTCACCCACCTAGTGGGTCGTTTAGATATTTTATGGTCTTAATAGACGCATCTTCTAGATGGTCCCATGTGTGCCTATTGTCATCTCGCAACCTCGCGTTTGCAAAATTAATGGCACAAATAATTCGATTACGGGCACAATTTCCCGATAATCCAATTAAGTCTATTAGACTTGATAATGCTGCTGAGTTTTCATCCCAAGCATTTAATGATTATTGCTTATCAATTGGGATAAAAGTGGAACATTCTGTAGCTCATGTTCACACTCATAATGGCCTTGCGGAGTCTTTAATTAAACGTCTGCAATTGATAGCAAGACCTTTACTCATGAAAACGAGGTTACCCACTTCTGTTTGGGGTCACACCATCTTGCATGCAGCAATGCTAGTTCGTCTCAGGCCGACAAATTATCATAAATATTCCCCGTTGCAATTAGTTTTGGGTCATGAACCTAATATATCCCATTTAAGAATTTTTGGATTCGCAGTATATGTGCCTGTAGCACCGCCATATCGCACCAAAATGGGTCCACAAAGAAGGTTAGGAATATACGTTGGGTTTTGAATCGCCCTCCATTATTCGCTACCTCGAAACATTGACGGGGGATTTGTTTACTGCACGATTTGCAGACTGTCGATTCGATGAGACACTCTTCCCAAAATTAGGGGGAGAAGTTGGTGAAACCAAACGGGAAATTTTGTGGAAAAATCCATCATTATCTCATCTTGATCCACGCGCCTCAATTTGTGAAAAAGAGGTGCAAAAGATTATTCATTTGCAGAGAATAGCAAATCAAATGCCAGATGCATTTACGGATATGAAAAGGATAACAAAATCACATATCCATGCAGAGAATGTTCCAATCCGTATTGATGTCCCTATTGGACAATCTTCTAGTGTCATAGCTAATGAGTCAAAAGCACGCCTTAAACGTGGCAGACCATTAGGTTCCAAAGATCGAAATCCTAGAAAAAGGAAAACAAATGATCAAAATGACACTACGAAAGAATCTCATGAAGAAATCCACAATTTAATAAATTCTGAGATTCATGAGGAATCCACTGAGCCCGAGACTCAAGAAAATAAGGAACTATCAATAAATCCAATCGATATTGAGACAAATTTGAATCAAGTGGATATAGTGGTGGATTATGTCTTTGCATATAATGTTGCATCTAGCATTATGCAAGAAAGTGAGGATCTTGAACCTCAATCTGTTGAAGAATGTCGACAAAGACTTGATTGGCCAAAATGGCAAGAAGCAATCCAATCAGAGTTGAATTCACTTGCAAAACGTGAAGTTTTTGGGCCTGTAGTCCAAACACCTAATGGTGTTAAGCCTGTTGGCTATAAATGGGTCTTTGTACGCAAGAGAAATGAGAAAAACGAGGTACAAAGATATAAGGCACGCCTTGTTGCACAAGGATTTTCACAAAGGCCTGGTGTCGATTATGAAGAGACATACCCACCCGTTATGGATGCTATAACGTTCCGTTATCTCATTAGTTTTGCTGTCCATGAAAAGCTTGACATGCATTTAATGGATGTGGTTACCGCCTACCTTTATGGTTCACTTGATAATGAGATATACATGAAAATTCCCGATGGATTTAAAATGCCAAACGCACATAATTCAAAGTCTCGGGAAATATTTTCAATCAAATTGCAAAGATCTTTGTATGGTCTAAAGCAATCATGACGAATGTGGTATAATCGTCTTAGTGAGTATTTATTAAAGGAAGGCTATATAAATGATGCCATTTGCCCATGTGTTTTCATAAAGAAAACAACATCGGAATTTGTTGTACTTGCCGTATATGTTGATGACATAAACCTTATTGGAACTCCTATAGAACTCCAAAAGGCAATTGATTATTTAAAGAAGGAATTCGAGATGAAAGATCTCGGAAAGACAAAATTATGTCTTGGTTTGCAAATTGAACATTTGGCAAACGGAATTTTTGTTCATCAATCTACCTACATAGAAAAGGTATTGAAACGGTTTTACATGGATGGAGCACATCCATTAAGTACTCCGATGGTTGTTCGATCACTTGATGTGAACAAGG